TTAGATAAACTTGGGAAACATTAGTTCTGACGCGCAGCAGGCAGGTCTTTTTACGGTTTAACAGACTCACACATCTTCAGCATAAATAATCCTAATACCAGCGTCATTCTAGCCACAAGTTCACACAGAAGAAAACATCACTACTGGTCTAAAAGACACTATGGCAGCTTGGAGCTTAGAAGAAGCGAAGCTCGTTTGTCTGACTACAGATAATGCAGCTATAGTAGCAGCTGAGTTAAATGGATGGATGAGGCTTCCGTGTTTCAGGAAGAAACACACTTGGTCATTGGTGGGTGGAATTTGGTTTTAAATGCAGCATGAAAACCCACGTGTCAGTGTACGCGTCGTTTTAAGAAAGTCAGGTGGCCGAAACAGGAGCTGTTTCGAACTGACTGACGCACTAATCTATAAGCGCATCTTTCAACGTAACAAATCTGCCAAAAAAAATTCTGATCTTTTGCAGTTCATCATTAATTTAATCAAGAAAAATGGATCAGCCTCAGAGGAAAAGAAAGGCTTTAGGTGACAGGGACCATTCTGATCTGATATATGATTTAATTTTCTTGTTTTGTCACTCTTTCCCTCTCAGTTATTAATCCACTTATCCAAATTAGAATTGACTTTTAATTTGGTGTTCTTCCTTTAGTTATTATCTTAAATAAATAAATAAATCCTGGTCCAACATGCTCATTTAAAATTTCCCGTTATCTGTTTAAATCAATGGATTGTCTAAAAATCTCAAAATATCGAACATATTTTCAATTCAAACGAAAATATGAAATATACATTGAAGCAAACAATGGATTTAAATATGATTTTTATATGGGTCATCAAATCAGTGTCAGTTTAGTCTGTCAGAGTTGGCCTGTAGTGTTTTTAATGTCCAGCAGGTGTCAGTATTCAGTGACACAGTAGCGACAACTATCAATACAGGTTGGCAATTTGAAACGCTTAATGGCGCTGCATGAACCCATCACTAGTGTGAAGCTGGAGCCAAAATACAGAGGCAGAGATGATTTAAAGCAGCCAAAGTCCAGTTACTGGGAGGTGAGTGACAGGAACTGATGAAGACAATGATGAAGATCCAGCAAAGACAAACTGCAGAGGAAGGGTATATATACACTGAGGAACAGACTGATTTATGCTCATTAACCGTGCTCATTAACCGTGTGTCACAGCGAACGCAGATATGCCCCGCCCCCCTCAGCAGACACTCTGCTGCACCTCTCCAAAATTGAAGGTGAGCGAAGACAGGAGGCCTCTGATTGGTCTAATCTACATCCGCTCTACACTATGCATATTTCTTGTTTGGTACCTTACCAGCTAGTTTTGTTTGTATGACCGCCATTTTGGAAAACGACTGGTGAAGGTGAACCAGCTAGTAGAGCGAGGTGCGTGAGAACGCTGGGACCCTTTTTCCACCTGGATCCCCGCTCTTTTTGGCCCTCATGTCCAAAGCTTAGGGACCGTCTGCAAGTTGCAAAAAGTGAATGTGATTGGTCGATTATCAAGGG